CATCCATTATTACTGTAACTCATGGCTGGGGAATTCTGGGAGTTGAAGCTCACTCCTCCTCCTCAAGTATCTAAGTTTGAAAAACACTGCTGAAATAGATTCTATCCACTTCGTAGCTGGTTGTCCTCTTCTCGTCCTTTCCATCATATCTAACGTTAGAGCCTTCTCCAGGAAGCTACTGTAGCTCTTCACATCCAACCCAGTGCTAGGCTGCATTAACAGAGGGAGAGAATCAAGATCACGCGAAGTATTAATACCACTTTACAATGCCTTGGTAAGGCCACACTTGGAATACTGCATCCGGTTTTGGTCACCACGATGTAAAAAAGATGTTGAGAGTCTAGAAAGAGTGCAGAGAAGAGCAACAAAGATGATCAGGGGACTGGAGGCTAAAACATATAAGGAACGGTTGCTGGAATTGGGTCTGTCTAGTTTAATGAAGAAAAGGACGAGGGGGGACATGATAGCAGTCTTCCAATATCTCAGGGGCTGCCACAAAGAAGAGGGAGTCAAGCTATTCTCCAAAGCACCTGAAGGCTGGACAAGAAGCAACGGATGGAAACTAATCAAGGAGAGAAGCAACCTGGAATTAAGGAGAAACTTCCTGACAGTTAGAACAATTAAACAGTGGAACAACCTGCCTCCAGAAGCGGTGAATGCTCCAACACTGGAAGTTTTAAAGAAGAAACTGGACAGCCTTTTGTCCGAAATGGTGTAGGGTTTCCTGCCTGAGCAGGGGGTTGGACTTGATGACCTCCAAGGTCCCTTCCAACTTTATTATTGTTATTGTTATTATATATTATATATTATTATTATTATTATTATTATTATTATTATTATTATTATTATTATTATTATTATTATTATTATTATTATTATTATTATTATTATTATTATTATTATTATTATTATCAGTTGACCCTGGAGAATTCAAATTCTCATTGGGGAAAAAGCATCCAGGGACAGACCTTCCTCCATTTCGGGGTTTCTCTCCAGCTGACCTTCTCACTTGACGGAGCCCACTACGAAGGTCAGAAGAAAACAGAAGCTCTTTCTTTGCTGGATTGATGAGCCTGTCCATTAGGTTGGGATTCGCTTTTTAATGGCCCCTTTTTTTGAAATCTGGTTGCAATGTATAACCTTACCCACAGAAGCAACTGCGTCTTATACCCCCATCCGGAAATGCAGTTTTTATTGATGACATTTTCCAGATCAGGTCTCGCCCCCTGCCTCTTTGAGGGAGAATAAGGAACTAGCATTTCTGAGCCTCACATGGGGGGTTTCTTTTAACTCTTTTGTTGCAGCCCGGGCTTTGACCAGAAAAAAAGAAAAGCGTGTACCATTTACAACAGGGGTAGGCAACCGTGGCTCTTTTAGGACTCGTGGACTTCAACTCCCAGAATTCCTGAGCCAGCCATTCTGAGGAGAAATGGAGACGTTTCCATACTGAGCCGTGCTGGCTCAGGAATTCTGGGAGTTGAAGTCCACGAGTCATGAAGGGGCCATTGTTCCCCACCCCTGGTATAGGGCAGGGGTAGGCAACCTTGGCTCTTTTATGACTCATGGACTTCAACTCCCAGAATTCCTGAGCCAGCCATGCTGAGGAGAAATGGAGAGGTTTCCATACTGAGCCATGCTGGCTCAGGAATTCTGGGAGTTGAAGTCCACGAGTCATAAAAGAGCCAAGGTTGCCTACTCCTGATTTACAACATCGATGTTCTAGCTTCTCCTATTTGGCATTAACTGGTAGAATTAATTTGATTACTTAAGACATGGGCTTTCTGTGATTCAAAAGTAACACAATAACAGAATAACAGAGTGGGAAGGGACCTTGGAGGTCTTCTAGTTCAACCCCCTGCTCAAGCAAGAGACCCTATACCTGTGGTGGCGAATCTATGGCTGGATGGAGTCACTGAAGCAGTAGGCATGAACTTAAATGGACTCCAGAAGATGGCAGAGGACAGGAAGGCCTGGAGGGACGTTGTCCATGGGGTCGCGACGGGTCGGACACAACTTCGCAACTAACAACAACAACGAGAAATGTTAGAAATTTCTCTTACGTGTCCAAAGGGATCCAGGTGGTTGTTGGTGAGTTTTAGCTTCTGGAAAGACACCAGTTGTCGCATCCAATGGGTTCCGGTGGCCGGAGAGTCGGGGTGAACATATAACCGTCCAGGCATCGCAGGTTCAGCTTTTCCAGCCACCATCCTGTGTGCAAAACACAAGAAGTTAAATTTCCCTGCCTCTAACTCAGTGGTTCTCAACCTTTTTAATGCCGCGACCCCAACCGGTTGTAAGTCGAGGACTAAACCGGTCGTAAGTTGAGGACTAAACCGGTCGTAAGTCGAGGACTACCCAACTGGTCGTAAGTCGAGGACTTTCCCTGCCCGGGAGCACTGCGCATGCGTGGTTCTGCCCCCTGCGCCGGCCGAGGCGTAGCTGGCAAGCGGCAGAGACGGAGCAGGCCGACCACCAGCTGGCCCAGCTCAAGGGAGGTAAGGCACCCGCCGGAAAAGGGGAAAAAAATGGCGGACAAAAAAAATGGCAGACAGCCTTGCTTGCCGACCCCCATGAAATGGTCGATTGACCCCAAATGGGGTCTTGACCCACAGGTTGAGAACCACTGCTCCAGCAGATAGTCCTTGACTTACGACCACAGTCGAGCTCAAAATTTCTGTTGCTAAGTGAGACCTTTGTTCAGTGAGCTTGGTCCCCAGTTTGCGACCTTCCTTGCCACCGTGGTTAAGTTGGTAACACCGTTGTTAAGTGGGTCTGGCTTCCCCCATTGACTTTGTGCAGGTTGTGTTGCAACGGCCGTATGGTTGTGTCCATTTAAATAATGAATATTGTTCAGTAATCGAAAGCTAATGTTGGTACTCCTCGACTTAGGACCACAATTGAACCCCAAATTTCTGTCGCTAAGCGAGACGTTTGTTAAGTCTGCTTTGCCGCCATTTGCGACCTTCCTTGCCACCGTTGTTAAGCGAATCACTGCGGTTGTTAAGTGAGTCACATGGTCGTTAAGTGAATCTGGCTTCCCCCATTGACTTTGCTTGTCAGAAGGTCACAAAAGAGCAGGGGTCTTCAAACTTGGCCCTTTGATGAATTGTGGACTTCAACTCCCAGAATTCCTCAGCCAGTTGAAGTCCACAAGTCATCATAGGGCCAAGTTTGAAGACCCCTGCAAAAGGGGATCACGTAACGCCGGGACACTGCAACCGTCATATGTACGAGTCAGTTGCTAAGCGTCTAAATTTTGATCACGTGACCACAGGGATGCTGCATCGGCCGTAAGTGTGAAAAATGGTCCTAAGTCACTTTTTTCCGTGCCATCGTCACTTTGAACGCTCACTAAACAAACTGTTGTAAGTTGAGGACTACCAGTATTTATAAGTTGATCAAGGCAGCTCGCCCGCTCTTTGATAAAAACCTGGCTTGCTTTTTTCAAATAAAACATTTGTGCGGGGCAGCCATTTGCACCAAATAACAGTACGGAGAGTCCTCGATTTACGAAGGCAATGGGGACCAGAATTTCTGTCGCAAAGCAAGGGGGGTGTTAAGTGAGTTGTGACGCATTTTACCAACCTTTTTTTTTTAAAAAAAAACACAGTTGTTAAGCTGATCACTGCAGTTGCTAAGTTAATGACGTGGTCGTCAAATGAATCCAGATTCCCCCAGGGACTGCCTGTCAGAATAGCATTAACAAGAGCACTTAGACCAGCGGTTCTCAACCTATGGGTCGTGACCCCATTTGGGGTCGATCGACCATTTCACGGGGGTCGCCAAACAAGGCTGTCCGCCATTTTTTTCCCCTTTTTCAGCGGGTGCCTTACCTCCCTTGAGCTGGGCCAGCTGGTGGTCGGCCTGCTCCGTCTCTGCCGCTTGCCAGCTACGCCTTGGCCGGCGCAGGGGGCGGAACCACGCATGCGCGGCGCTCCCGGGCAGGGAAAGTCCTCGACTTACGACCGGTTGGGTAGTCCTCGACGTACGACCGGTTTAGTCCTCGACTTACGACCAGGTGGGGTCGCGGCATTAAAAAGGTTGAGAACCACTGACTTAGACTTATATACCGCTTCACAGAGCTTTACAGCCCTCTCTAAGCAGTTTATAGAATCGGCAAATTTGCCCCCAACAATCTGGCTCCTCATTTTACCGACCTCGGAAGGATGGAAGGCTGAGTCAACCTTGAGCTAGTCGGGATTGAACTTGCGGCGGCGGTCAAAGTTAGCCTACAATACAGTATTCTGACCACTGTGCCACCATTGCAAGGAAGGAAGGAAGGAAGGAAGGAAGGAAGGAAGGAAGGAAGGAAGGAAGGAAGGAAGGAAGGAAGGAAGGAAGGAAGGAAGG